AGCTGATGGCTCGATTGAATCACGAATCAAAATCTGCGACGCGCGCCCCCCCCCCCCGCCGCCGCGGCGTGCACATGCATCATCCACAGCATCACGAGATGACCTGCCACGCAAAACCTCACGGCTCCACCTTCGCGCGGCTCAGCAGGCGGATCAGCGCGTTGAGCGCGTACCGGTAGGCGCCATGCACAAACTCGCAAAGCACCACCAGATATGCTGCGTCTGGTCTACTTACAGTTGTGAGTCTGCTGAGAATGTGCACAGTCAGAATCAGCCTGCTGGGCATGGATGGCCTCGCTGCACACGTCCAAGAGCACTCCTGACTCCCAACTTGAGTTGCGTGCCTTTCATTGTGACGATTTCAGGGGCGCAACTCATGGGAAGTTGGACAAAGGCACGCGTAGAGCAAACAAAAGCAACGAGCGGAGGAAGCGATGACGAGCGAGCGTCGGCACCGCTTCGATAGCTGCTGTAGCATGCCCTGGCCAAGCGGTGTGGAATTGGGCGAGAGGCCATACAGCAGTTCAGCGTATACAAAGTCACAATCGTGTGCGCAATGTGATGCATGGCATTCGTGGTTCAAGAAATCCCTCCGCAAATCTTTGCGGCGATAAGATATAGCAGATGTTGCGCTCGGAAACTGCAGACAACTTGTAGCACATGACACGTCTTCTCGAGCATCACGGCCGCGAGCTGGGCACCGCGGGCACCGCGGGCATCGCGATCACGCAAGCATAGCCTCGATGACGTCGCTCTGGGCGCGACACTTGTACATCCCGATCCTCTTCAGACCGGCCGCGTTGAGGATCCTGTCAAAGTCCTTTGGCGTTCGCTCGGTGGCGTTGAGCGCTTGCATCATCTCGAAGTCGACGTTCTGGAGGCATGGCCAGGTGGAGAGGGGGATGTGCGAGCTGATCAGCGCTGCACGATCGAGATACAGCCTTCTGGGCACAAGCATTAAGCACCCCCGCAACTCACCATTTTGAGTTGTCCAGCGGCACCTTGAGATCGAGGTAGGCTTTGGAGAGACATTCAGGCGAAAAGCGCCGTCACCGTCAGAAGCGTCACCACGTGCCACACCATCCACTGCTCGTCACTTACGGCCACACGCTAGCGTGTATCAGGTCGGCAGGTTTGGCGTCTTTTGGCACGATGCTCGCAGGTTGCAGGATAGTGTCCTACACGTTGCAATCACAATGTGAAAGAATGTAAGCTCTTGACCTCAGCGTACCGCAGAGATGACGCTCGATGACACGCACGACAATGATCAGTTTGCTCTTTGGTGACATGGCAGCAGCGATGAGCTTCAGAATGACTGTGATTTGGAGAGATGTCAAGATCAGGTTGGCGAACA